ATATTTAAATTCATAGACTACATCTACAGTTTAGTTGATCCATGAATGTTAAATCTTGCTCAAATCTTCCCTTAAATTTTTTATATCTTTTTCATATGTCTTAGGATAACATCTTCCCCACAGATATCTCATTGCAAAGGAATATTTAATCCTTTGGATAGACAAGGATACTCTGAGTAGATTATTTACTGAGCTATATGAAAACCAGTGCTTTACTTGTGGATAATTTTCTCGTTATTAGGTCTCCTGAGGTATAAATAAGACTAGAGTAAATCTTTAAAAGATTTAACAGAAATCTATAATTTAGCATGATCCACATTTAGAGAGAGAATCAAGGCCAATGAGAGGAAGGACAAGGAAAAAATAGAATTGTTAAATATTTTAATGCAATATGAATTTTTGGTGTGTTTTTGGTTTGTTTGGGCCAGGGGGTTGTTTTTTTAATGACAAAGCTTATAAAACTCTGATAGCAACTTGAGAGCTAGTTTAATTCAATCTCATCATTTTTTGAGTAAGGAAACTAGTATTTAGGAATCCAGATCACAGGCTGGAGCACAGAGCACCTAATTACAAGCAGGCTTCCAAAAAAGGAATATTTGACATAACATGAATTTGAACAATGTTGTTAGTAACAATTAAGCATTGAATCCTCTTGTAGTACATAAAAATCATCACACAAGAAAGAAGTAGTTTGTGGCCTATCATTTTCATAAATTTTGACTTTTGTCTGTTTTTCATAATTGTTATAATTATCATTTTAGTAAAATACAACAAATTTATGAGTGAGCATTATGATCTGCATTAGTTGCATATCATACCTTATCAGTTTTAAACAAGTTGGACAAAATGTAAAATATTAGAATCTTAGTGATATGCTGACACAAAAGATATGTTGAATATAATTTTATCATTTATTATAGTGATTTTGGATCATCACAATCAGCTTGAATCATCTTACTATCATATAGAATTACTACTTAAAGGAAAGTTTTGGTTAGAGAAATTCCAAATAATATACTTTTTGATCCTTTAGATTAGAGTTCTTCATCCTTTGTAGCACTAACATTTTGGGCTGGATAATTCTGTTCGAGTGGGGGCTGGGGGATGTCCTATGCATTGTAGGGTATTTAGTGGCATCTCTAGCCTGCATCTACTCAGTGCCATTAGCATCCTGTCAATTGTGACAATAAAAAATGTCTCCCAAACGTTCCCTGATGGTGGGAGTGGAGAGTGTTACAAAATCATCTCTGGTTGAAAACCAATGCTTTAGATTACAGGGAAGATCTATAATGAATCAGATCATTTACAATCCTTTCATCTTTTGCACATTTTTCTCCTGTTCAGAACAACAATTGTTTTTCACTGTAGTGTTTTATATTAATTTTCAGTTGTAGTTATCTTTATCCTAACTGATTAGCTTTATAAATAAAAAATTCTGAAGTTATACATTAGAAACTATAATCTCAATGAATGACTTTAAGATTAAAGATATACCTATTAGATATTTTTGTATAGGAGAGTGTGTTACAGATGGGAAATCATGTTATTATAGGCTGTTCATTTTGATCTCATGGTATCTGGGCTCTTTTTGGACACAGAAGAATCAGTTGGTTGGTGATGATTTGGAACCCAAAATGAAAGGGGTATTCATAACACATGGGGTCAAAACGAGAGGCTATCATAAGAATGTAGGCATCAGATCTGGATGCTCTGGCCCTAACAGAAATCTGGAAATAGGTGGTCCTTAGATACCTGAACTGTTTTTATTTTAATGAATATATTTTCTTAAATGATCTGAATAACTGAGTTTCTACTAATTCTTATATACTATACTTGAATAATGAATAAGAACTCATGTGAGGCCAGGCGTGGTCGCTCACTCCGTAATCCTAGCACTCTGGGAGGCCAAGGTGGGAGGACTGCTTGAGGTCAGGAGTTTGAGGTCAGGAGTTTAGCCTGAGCAAGAGCAAGACCCTGTCTCTACAAAAAATAGAAAAATTAGCCAGGCATAGTGGTGTGCCCCTACAGTACCAGCTACCTGAGAGGCTGAGGCAGAAGGATCACTTGAGCCCAGGAATTTGAGGTTGCAGTGAGCTATGACAATGCCACTGAACTCTAGCCAGGGTGATAGAGTGAGACCCTGTCTCAAAAGAAGCAATAAAATAAAATACTCATGTGATAATAGACTAAATGTACATGTCAATGTAAAATTAACACATTAATTTTTAATTTTTATTTGTATTATAGCTTATTTGCAAAGTTTTAAGTTTTACCATTGGTGCCTACTACGGTTTTGAGGCATTCATTTTATTTATTTATTTATTTTGGTTTTTTTGAGACAGAATCTCGCTTTGTTGCCCAGGCTAGAGTGAGTGCTGTGGCATCAGCCTACCTCACAGCAACCTCAAACTCCTGGGCTCAAGCAATCCTGCTGCCTCAGCCTCCCGAGTAGCTGGGACTACAGGCATGTGCCACCATGCCCGGCTAATTTTTTCTATATATATTAGTTGGCCAATTAATTTATTTCTATTTATAGTAGAGACGGGTTTTGCTCTTGCTCAGGCTGGTTTCGATCTCCTGACCTCGAGCGATCCACCCACCTTGGCCTCCCAGAGTGCTAGGATTACAGGCGTGAGCCACCACGCCCGGCCCATTCATTTTAAATTCTTACATACACTGTCTGGCTAAAATATACAATGCCATGGCAATGATATATATAATCTATAAATAGTATAACTCTTAAAGTTTTACTTTAACATAAATAATCTAAAAATATCAAGGTTTCTTTTACTGCCATGTATACACATGGATAACCATATATCCACTAATTAAAACAATAGCTAACAATTGTTGAATGCTAGGTACTCAGTCAGCACTTTACATGTATTATCTCATTTAATCCTCCCAAGTGTATCTTTTTTATATTTCTCATGAAGAAATTGAGAATTCAGAGAAAATACATAATTTTCACAAGGTCACAACTAATAAGCTTCAGACACAGTTTTTGAACCCAGATAACATTTATTATCTAATATCTCACTGACACAATGTAATCTGTATCACCATTCCTTCAAGGTTTATGTTTATACTCTTCAACTCCAGTGCACATATATTTTTTTGAGTGCTTACTATGTGGCAGACTTTGTGTTTGTGTTTTTGTTTTTTACTTTTTATTTTGAAATAATTTTAGACTTACAGGGCAAAACAAATACAGAGCATTTACATATATTTTTCACTTAGCTTCTCCTAATATTAATAATTTGTGCAACCATAGTACAATTATCAAAATTATAAACATCATGAAATTAACATTGATGCAATACTATTAATTGTAGATTTTATATGAATTTCATTAGTTTTCCATTGATGTCCTTTTTTTGTTCCAAAATCCAACCTAGGATCTCATATCACATTTGGTTGTGTCACCTTAGTCTCCACCCCATGGCATTTCCACAGTCTTTCCTTTTCTTTCATGACCTCGACTCGTTTAATGAATAATAGTTATTTTGACATGGTCTTTTAATTTGGGTTTGTCTGTTGTTTCTCATGGTTTGACTGAGGTTTTACATTATTGGGAAGAATACCACAAAGGTGTTCTTCAGGCAGAGCACCGGAGAATGTTTGATGTTGATATATTTTTTTACCATAGGTAATGTAGTTTCTCCACTGTGAAGTTATTCTTTTTCCCTTTTTATTTAATTAATATTTTGGAGGAGATATGTTGAGACTATACAAATATCCTGTTTCTCCTCAAACTTTCACCTACTGCTTTTAGCATCCCTTGTTGCATATATACTTTAAACTGTTCTTTGAATAGTTCTTTAGGTATGGTAACCCAATGATTGTTTTGTGAAGTATTCACAATTGCAAAGGATTGCCTTTTTATCTTTTAACTTTCAAGTTGATGGCCATGATTTCTTTCAGAGCTATATTTGTGCTTTAGCAGGGAACAATAATAATAAAATCTTTAACTTGAAAATTGGAAGAGCTGATCCTAATGACAGTCCTCATTCAAGAGTAGCAAAGGCTAGAGTAGATTTGTTAAATTTCTGTAAAATAAAGAAAAAAAGATAAGATGAACATAGAGTAGTTGACCAAATTTGGGGTTACTGGAACTAAGAAATACCTATTAAAAACAACAACTTAAGGCTAATATGGGAGAATAGTATTTTGCATACAAGGAGAATATTCATCCACCCAAGAAATCTACTTAGGCTTAAAATATAGCTATGAAGAAGAAAATAGCCTCTTCCTATAAACTTTTTCTAGGTAAAGAATCCACAGTTTTTGTTTTTAGTAAAATAAGACTTGTTACAAATATTGATAATTTATAGTGAAAGGTGTCAGCAATGGGCCTTACCATCAGACAGGCACATATCTCAGAGTTTATTAGTGCCTGTTTCTGACCCAAAACCTACCCTTTAAACATTACTTCCACACAGCCATCATGGTAACTATGCTTTTCTGGTGATGAATGCTGATAAAAAGAAAGAAAGATCCTATAAGAATATGGACATACTTAACCATTGCAGTACTACCATTTATTGAGCCAACTGACAGAAATACCAGAATATGAAGAGAAGTTTTTGAATTGGAAGTTCTATTAGAAGAGGATTTGGTATAATTAACAGGAAATTTATTTTATAAATTATTATTTTTAATTATATTTTTATCTATTTCATATTTTATATTTCTGAAGAACATGTATTTCTAAATTTATTTTTAGAAGTATATAAAAAGTTTAAATATGTTTAACTCTTTTGAATAATTTTCCTATTTAATGCTGAGAATTAGGGAGGGGAAAGAGGGAGTAGAAGAAAACTTACCTAATGGGTACAATGAACACTATCTGAGTGATAAACACACTATAAACCTGACTCAAACATAACAAAACTGATACATGTAACCAAAAACATTTGTACTCCCATAATATTGTGAAATTTAAAAAAATAGTAAATTTTTAAAAATATGAAAAAAATTAACATTTCCTTCTCTCATAGATATGGAGTCTGGAGAACGGTTACCGTCCTCAACAGCCTCCTCTACTACACCAACTTCATCTTCTACACCTTCTGTGGCTTCAGCAGTTTCAAAAGGTGGCCTTTCCACTGGAGTTGCTTCACTTAGCTCTACAATCAGCCCATGTGGTAAATATCCCTTTTTTTAACTCAATTTAGAATGCGATTCTTTTAATAATTTGCATTCATCAAGTTTTATTGAGCTCTATTAAAATGTTTTTGTGACCCCCATTGACCTGTTGAACAATGGCTAGGTTAAACATCTAATTTCTTTGCTTTTTCTGAATTTCACACTGGATTTCCACTGGTTATTCCATGCTTTTCATGCTTATTCAAAATTCTCTTTGAGAGTTTAATCTTAATATCTTAATTTATTTTAATTAATAAATTAGTAAAGTCAAGTCTTTTTAAAACAATAGGCCCTTTCTGGGCGAGGTGGCTCACGCCTGTAATCCTAGCACTCGGGGAGGCCGAGGCGGGCGGATTGCTCAAGGTCAGGAGTTCGAAACCACCCTGAGCAAGAGCGAGACTCCGTCTCTACTATAAATAGAAACAAATTAATTGGCCAACTAATATATATATAAAAAAAAAAAGTAGCCGGGCATGGTGGCGCATGCCTGTAGTCCCAGCTACTCGGGAGGCTGAGGCAGGAGGATTGCTTGAGCCCAGGAGTTTGAGGTTGCTGTGAGCTAGGCTGACGCCATGGCACTCACTCTGGCCTGGGCAACAAAGCGAGACTCTGTCTCAAAAAAAAAAAAAAAAAACAATAGGCCCATGAGGGAATGAAGAAATATACAAAGGAGTTCTTGGTGGGCCCTTTGCCCTAAATTTTCTCCCAGTATTCAAAATGACCTTTGCAAGTTCCAGCTATTGCAGTTTACAGATGTATACTAAGGCAGGTCATTTACTTGATGGAAAATAATTTAAAAGTTTAGAGCATAATAAGTTTCTCTTAAACATGAACAAAGTTTATATTACTAAAAAGAGAACTTTATTTCAAAAGTAAAAATATCCTCAATTTGATTAATTATGTGGAAGGTACATTTAAGTACCCCTTAAAATTATTCTTTGTTTTTTTACACAGTTTTGGTAGAATATATCATTAAAACAACAACAACCACTAAAAAAAAAACACCTAAAACTTCATTGACTCATTCCTTTATCAGTAGGAATCATTTTAACCTTAGATATTTTTTATCTTATAGATTATTTCATGTTTATAAATGGTGGAACTAAATGATAATCTACTTTTTCAAAATTAGATTTGTAATATTACATAAATTAAATGTATAAATAAATATGGAATGTTTGCTTATAAAATAACCCTAGCAAATTATGAAATATATTTTTAATTCTGATTTTTCTAATCAATGGAATGACAAGAAAGATGTGATTTTGTTATTATATTATTGTAGAACAGTTTTCTAATATGTTCTTAGTGATTACAAAATAACTCAAAATATAGTGTTTTATTTTTTAAAAAATCAATTTAACCTGTCTTCTCCTGCACCCTGTGTACAATGTTCATCAAGTAATTTAACAACTTCATTGACATTTCCCATATATATAAAATGATGGCTGGATTCTAAGGTCCATTGATGATATGCTGTGCTCAAAAATATAGTGATACCATGGTTGGCTTTTTCCTTAGGTTACTTTGTCTAAATGGTTGTACACAGTTGTACTTTTGTAATTATTCTTTCCTGTTTTTTGTAACTCTTCTTCCTCTTTCCTTTGTTGTCAGCTCATTTCAATATATTCTTCTAATCTACTGTCTTACTTTGTATTTATTTCTAAATCAGTCTTTATCATGCATAGTTTCTAGAGAAATGTCTTTTTTTACGTTGAAAGTTTCAGTAGCATCCTGAGTACAGAGCCTTGAGTTTTCTGAACACCTTTTTCTCACTTAGTTTTCTTAACACTGGAATTACTTGCAATTCTGATTAGTCATTTGTTGGGCACTATATTTTGTTTGTTAGTGGTGGAGTTTTCTTAACACTGGAATTGCTTGCAATTCTGATTAGTCATTTGTTGGGCACTATATTTTGTTTGTTAGTGGTGGTTGGGAGTTGCAAAAGGGGTGGAGTATGCTGAGTTGCTGAATAACATTGGAAATCTCCTTGTCTAGAAAGGAATTCGTTCTTTATTATTATTTCCTAATAAAAAAGAGTGTAGATTTTTTATATTGAGATGCTTATATTGAATGAAAGTATAGCTTATTTCTATTTATTCAGAAATTTATCATCTACTAACACTTCTTTTTAGTACCTACCACATGAGTTTTTTCACTTTTAGGTAAAATCATTTTCTGTTTTTACCTTTCATAGTGTTGTGGTTCATGTTTAAAAGAAAGCCTTACATTCCCCTCTAACACATAGATTACTTAAGAAAGTGCTCAGTTGTCCTGCATAGCTCAGTTTATTTTGTTTTCCTGTGTTCGTTTGCTTGATTCATTTGGCCTATTATCTGATAATTCTGTTTTTAAAATAAAATCTTAGAGTGATAATGGACTTGACCACTTTATGTTAAAGAATTTTATCTCCTCAATTTTTTTGATAGAGACAACAAAACAGAATTTTCATCTTTAAAATATCACAACCTCACCAGTTCTTTAATGAGCCCTTTGTGGTCATTCTTTTGTTTTAAAGCTATTTCGTTTCAGAGAAACAGTTATTTCAGTTATTTATTTTCTATCATCTTCATTAATGGTGTGTCTGTAGGAATTCCTCTGAGATATTAGGATTTAATTCAAGCCTTTAAAACTCTGAATGATTAACTACTTTCTATAGAATCAACATGTTGTCAAAGTCTGAGATTATACCTACTTACAAATTATCCCTTTGCTATTATGGATGCTGGCAGAAGACATGAGATTCCTTGATCAGAGATTTTGTTGCTTATGGCACAGCAAACAGCATAAGCATCATGTTGGCATTGCTTCTCCATGTCCAAGGGGCAGTATTAAAAGGCCCCGTTGGATCCTATGCACGTAGTGGGTTTATGTTATAGCTGAGGCATGCTGAACTTGAAGAATTTCCTACATTTTATAGTAAATGAAAGCAAGCCTACTCTTTGTCAGGTTGGGGGTAGATATTGCCTCATCCTTCAAGATTACTCCTGAAAAATAGCCTGGTTAAAAAGTAGTCAGGGCCTTGCATTCTTAGCACATACAGCAATATCATACAGGGCCTCCAACAGCACACCCTTAGTTTTATTACAATGATTTGAATAGAAAGTAACACTACATATAATCCTAACACTCTGAGAGCCCAAGGCTGGAGGATGCTTGAAGTCAGGTGTTCGAGACCAGCTGAGCAAGAGTGAGATCCCCATCTCTACTAAAAATAGAAAAAAAGTTAGCTGGGGCATGGTGGTGTGTGCCTGTAGTACCAGCTACTCAGGAGGCTGAATCAGGAGGATTGCTTGAGCCCAGGAGTTTGAGGTTGCAATGAGTTACAATGATGCCACTGCATACTACCCAGGGTGACAATGTGAGACTCTCTCAAAAAAGAAAATAACACTGTAGTAAAGATTGATTAATCTAAAGCTATCTGCATATATGGGTTTTGGTGATCTTATTAGAAGAGTAATACTTCTTTTCCCTTAGGAATGATTAAAAAAAACCGCCTACTCCTAAAAAATCATTTGGGACATATATCAATAAATGTTTAGGCAGATAAGCAAAAACAATGAACTAAAATGTCAAAAGATAAGATCTAGAAACTAAAAAGGTCTTAGCTAAAGAAAGCTGCAGATATTGAACAAAAAAATCAACTAGCTATTAATAGGTGCTAAGAATAAAAGGAAAACATAAAGGATTACATGACTCATATTACCCTAGTGCTAGTAAGTATATCAGTTTCTCAGAAAAAAACAAACTTTTTTCTGGCCCTAAGTGACAAGGGGAGTATGCCATCAAAACTTTTGTGTAAAATGATGCACCATATTCTACATGCCAGTTTCACAAATATTCAAGAACTATTCCACATATTGGTTCTGGGTAAAAGCTGAAAGAATAATATTTAAGCATAGCTCCATAAATAAACTTTATAGAGTGAAGTTGTTTGAGATTTGTGGTCATTTGATTTAATACAAAGGTAGAACTTTGAGAAATTTCAATGATAGGTAAGCTACGCCATAGACCAGTGGTTTTCAACCCATTTTGCATGTAGAACCCTTCCAACAAAAGCTTACACAAATCCAGAATATGTAAAAATTGGTAAACTATTTAAAATTTCTCTGGTTAAAGCTAGACTATGTCTCCTTTTCTTTTAAAAGTTAAAGAGACTGACTTACATATGTATCTTACTTGCAGACTTCTTACAGAAGTGTACCAAATCATGGCATATTGAAAAAATTGCAAACTGATCAGCAAAACATGAGATTTTAGGGTATATGTTCATTATGACATTAACTATCAGTAGAAAAGCATGGCAAATAAACACACCATCCCATACATAGGCAGTTCTGGGATGGGGTACTGTCATCACAGACCTGTACTCCTTCTCATTTACATTCTGCCTTTGGAAGTATGGGAATTTCATGTTCACATGTGTATCTCATGGCTGTAAGAGGGCTGATCTACCTACACCACTTCCCTCCAGGAAGTAAGGAGGGGCGGGGAAGGCAAAAGTTGCATGACAGCTTATTTTTTTTTTTTTTTCTTTTTTCTTTTTCTTTTTTTTTTTTTTTACAGAACTGACTAGAAGATTATGACAGCTTATTTTGACCCCTTTTACAGAGTTTTCTCAGAAGCCCCACCCAGAGATTTTCACTTAAATCTTTCATCAGAACTGTGTGAGTGGTAATCTCAGCTTCAAGAAAGGCCAGGAAAAATAGATTTTAGCTTAGCATATTGAATTAAATAGGGATTCTATTAGTAAGGAAGAAGAAAGAATGTATTGTCAATCTCTGCTATGACTAAGAAAGAGGGATAGAAAGGTCAAGTTGAGGAATAGGCCAAGGTCAGATCATTTAGAACTTCATGTTTAGGAATTGAGGTAGTGCAATGTAATGATTAAAAGCAAAGACTTCTCAGGCAAAAGGCCCTGAAATGGAATCTTGGCTTATCCACTTATTAGCTGTGTGAATTTGGCTAAATTGCCTTTTTCTGAGGTTCAGTTGCCTCA